ATTTGTCATTATAACATATAACCAAAGAGAATATAACCACTAAAGAGCTTATAGGCCGATTTCATATAACATAGTACTATACAAAAATTACAGAGACAAAACTAAATTGGAATCGTCGCAAAATCTTATTTTTTGAATGTGTTACCTGATGTTAACCAGTCAGCGCCGCCCATGGACACCCGCAACGGAGGAGGTACGAGTGCGTTGCCGACCTTTTAGCGATGAGGGATTTGGAGATTTAGGGATTTGTTAAGGGTCCGGGGAGGGGAAGGATTGGGTCTTTAATTCCTTAAATTTGTTAATAGTAAATCTTCTGAAAAAGTATTAAATCTTCCACTACTTTCTGGAAGTTGAAAAGAATTTTTCTCAAGTTACCAGCTATTGTGGGCCTGAACAATATACCGCGAACCCAACCCTAAGTAAGAGTCTGACACTCCCTCTCGCGCCATCCAGGACAGGATAGGTATCAATTATAAATACAATATATCATCGAGTAATAGCACCCGGGCGACGCTGGGGTTATTAGCAAATTTAAAGTGAATATAAATAGGGTAGAAGATAAAAGAACTTGTACTAAAATTGTGACATATTTATAACATACATCTCTGACTAATTTGTATCAATAACGTTGATGGTGTTTATGCATCAGATGTATTCTAAGCGTATCAGGCCTCTATAGTGACAATACAATAACCTTGTACCGTGACTATCAAGATCAGGAAAACCACAGATTAACTCTTTAACCGACTTTTTTAAAAACACTGTCCACTTAGTAATCGAATAAGGAAACATTATTTTGAGGCATTATTATGAAGTTTTATAGGTCGTAAATGTGTGTAGAGTCAAAAGTTTAGCTGGTTGTAGTACGTACCAATTAGAAAAAACGTAATTACACTACTAACAACTTGTTATTTCTCAGCGAGGTAAACAATACTGCATACATATTGCTATTATTTATACGTAAATTGGTATGTACCTGCCAATTATAAATCTTTATCGTACGGAAGTATTCCACTGTGATTTAAATTAAAGCCCGCTACAAAAGAGTTTTTATTCTAAATCCTCATGCTTGACGGTTCTGAAAAAGGATGCTGCCGCCATCCTGTAACAGCTACGTTCTCCTTGGCTTTTTTATTGATAAATATAAATATATAGTCTATAATATAAAAATGAATCGCGAAATGTGTTGGTAAGCGCATAACTCAATAACGCCTGGGCCAATTTTGCCAATTCTTTTTTTGTTATTTTCGTTATGGTTAGGAGAAGGTAACTTTAAGGAAACTTTTGAAAAGTAAAGGGGAACAGCGGAAATTAACAACCCTTTCAGTGCCGTGGCCGTTCTTTTGCAAAACAAATGATTTTGAGACCCAGGGTAGTCGGACACCCGTGCGAAGCAGGGCCGGTCTGCTAGTTTACAAAATTGAAATGTTTATATTTCAAGTCAGTACTTGATAAATGCTGAATTTTACACCCATTCTCATTGCTTTATGTGTAGGGATATTATAAAGAGGGAAGATTATGGTGATATTATCCAGGAACTGGACTGCATAGGATCCAAAACTCGTGCTAGTTAATATTCTGTTACTAAATAAAATACACTTTTGTAACTTTTAGGGAGTTCTTCCAAACCTATGAATTTCCTTACTTTCGTCTTGATATTCGTATTAGGTATAATCTACTCATAATTATGAGCCGCATAAAATAAAACTCCTCGTATGTTACGTATGTGTATGTTCTGTTATGTTAGTATCTTCAATTTTTCAAAGGATTGAAAAAGAAAAAGGTTTGTACAAATACTCCTACTAATATTAAAAACCTAAGAGTTTGATAGTGTGATGATTGACTGTGACGAAATTTGGGACAGAGATAGATAATAGTCTGAAATAATAAATAGGCCAGGTACCTATTTTTTATTTAGAAAACGGCACGAGCTAGTCGACCATAATATCACATCAAATTTTCTCTTTCCAAAAATCGATGTGCTATAGGTATAAACGCCAGGTACAGAGGTATAAGTACTTTATTTATTAACTGATCACTCGGTGTGTTTAGTTAGGTGACCGTGAATTAGGTCCACCACAGACGTCACCCAATGATTCATCATAATTAACCTGACGTATAAGCTAATTGAATCGACGGTTGACCTTACAATATATCAATGTTATTTTTATACTTAGAATAACAAAGCAATTACCTGTCCTATATTTAAATCGTCCAAAGATCCTCGCTGTACCTTATTTCCAGAATAAAAAAGCTACGTACTCAGTCCATTGTTGTTCATTTTTGGATTATGAGTATTCACTATGAACGTCTATGGAAGGGTTCACCACAACAATTTTTATTTTATTGTTATCTTGGGCGATAAACAAACTAGCTGATCACTTGATAGAAAGCCATCGGTGCGGCCACGAGGAGCAAATGTGTTACCGATGGGGCATGGGGTCCGGAATTTGTGGTTGAGAATCGCATGTGACGGGGCCTGCTATGCTGCTGCTGCTCCGAGTAGCTGTTAACGGCAGCCCTGCTAACAGCTGCTTGACTTTACACATCTTCTACATAAGAAAGTTTACCAGGATTGTTGGACTATGATCACATTCTACCAAAAAAGGTTTACTCTATATTCTCCACTTTAACCAAGCCAATTAAAGAAAGTCGAAGGTCAAAAATACAGGGCCTGTTTGCGCCGTTGCGTTTGTCTCTGTCAAATATTCCTATAGGTCTTCAATGAGCTGCCAAACCTGCAGGAAAAGAAAATATCGTGGCCAACTCTGCCATTACAGCTCGATAGAATATACCAAATTAAATCAAGTTCATAAATGTGGATAGACACAACATCAGGTTTATTTTTTTGGTGCACGTTCTGACGTACATTTGTTATTTTTTTCGTATTAAAATTCCGGTTTTCTCAAAATCGATAGAAAAAACCCGCTTCTGATGTTAATTATTGCTTATTTTGAAACTGTTTGTGTGTTGCGATAAATAAATAAATTTAATCAACTTAGGTAAGGTTAGGGTCTTTGTAAAACTGCTTCATTTTGCGAGCTCTTTAGTATATTTTCGATAAAGAATATAATGAAAGGTACCTTTACTTTTTATAGATCTACAACAGGTTCAGCCACTTACGTTAACCGCCTTTGCTTATTCTACCATTTAAAAGCAAACAAGAAAAAACTGTCACGTGTTGAGAATGTAATAATACCTCGTCGGCTTCATATGTGTATTTTTTGTGAACAATTTAATGGAAGTAATAATTTGATGATCCTTCATCATCATTACATTACTGATCCTCATGATGAAGAAGACTAAAAATAGAATGATCAATAAATCGTAGATTGATCAATATCAAACTTTTATCCATTCGTCGATTGTTTTAGTCAAGTTCCTGCAAAATTTCGGTTTCAACCAGGGTTGCGAGGAAGGCACAATAAGGTACAGCGGCCTCGGTCTGGAGCACAAGTAGGACCGGGGTGGTTTTTAATCAGTAACAGAGAGAAGTTATTAAAGATTCTCACCTTCAAAAAGACTCAAATTTATGTCTCTAGACCAGTAGAAATTAACATAAAGTAGTATATAAAGAGGAAAACTTTGTTTGTAATAAATAGGCCCAAACTATAATAATGATTGTACTATGAAAATAAAATAATTTAAAATTAAAAAAAAAACAACGGTGACCGGAAGACCATAAAAAATAGGAGATGATAAAAAATTGGGAGCGGTTCCCCAACGCAAAAGTGAATCTAAAAATCAACCAAAAAATTTCATAATGAGATTTTGAGATACGAAATCAAAATACAATTTCGAAACCTACGTGGACAAAGACGCAGGCAGAAGTAAGTTTAAAATAAATAATGAATGCTTAACTACTTAACATCTTTTCTGCAGAGAAGATAACTCACAAGATATCTCACGTCAGAATCAGTTTAGGCGTTTCTTTTTAAAATAAGTTGTATTGTAACATACAAACATTCCTATTGTTCAGCGGCTTAAAAACAACGTCAACGATATAGGAAATAAGGTAGATTACACTGTTAAACTAAGTATATTCAACGATTTGAGATAACAATGGTTGATTTTCGCTTATTAGGCTATTTTCTTCATGATATAAAAGAATAGCTTCCTCATAATATTCAGTGCTTACTGCAAACGAAACTGTCTTTTCTTCAGCTGGTCTTGGTAAGTCAAAATATAATATATAAGATATGTTTATTTTATTGTGGTGATGAAAAATTGGAAATATTCTGTGGTGTCCCCCAGTGTAGTGATATACTCAACCTAATCAAATGAGGCTCTTGAAATAAGGAGAATTGTCGGTTTACATTTTTAATCTGTAGACCCTTTTGCACCCCTTCGAAAAACAAAACGTTTGATGAGAGTCCTATAAGATATATTTGTGTACCTACTATAGTATCATACTGCTTATAAAATCCTAGCAACAAATAATGAAGCGGAGTATTGCAAAATAAATATTTTAAAGGAAATTATGTGATTGCTTAGAAAAATATGTTAGGAGCGGCAAGTAGCAAAGCAATAAGTCGATATAAGCGACATTCCAACTGATCTAAAGTTGAGTTTCTTGTTAATTATTTACCTACAAATAGAATCAAGAGTAAAATAGAGTTTGTAACAAAAGTAAAAAGAAGTACCTAAATTTGTGATTGCTATAAAAGATAACTAAGGGGCTTGATGAATCATTGCTTTGATTAATCAAGCCCCTAATACAGCTACAATGTCGCTCCTGAGCAAAGAAGCAAAGTAATATGTCAAATTTTTATAAGACGTTCACAAGATTATACCATAGAGAGTGTATCACTATATATGCTATACCTAAAACAGAAAAGTAAAAAGCGTAATTATAGGTAATATTAGGATAATTTAAGTATAGACGTCAATTTAACAGTTGCTAAAAACAGACGAATAAGCTTTATCAAAAAGCTTCTAAAATCTTTGAGACTAAAAACCGCCTTTATCTTCCAGAAACGATGCAGAAGTCATTTATAACAATGATACTGTTAATGTACTTGACGATTCAGAGTAATGCAACAGAAACGTCTACATACACGACAAAGTATGATGGGATCGATCTGGATGAAATATTGAGCAACGACCGTCTGCTGACCGGGTATGTCAACTGTCTGATGGATCTTGGTCCTTGCACGGCTGATGGAAAGGAATTAAAAAGTACGTACCTACTTAAAAACTCGCACATACAACAATATTAAATACTCTGGTTTGTAAAAGTGTCCTCAGCATTTTTTTTCATCGTTAGCAGCGCCTTCTTAGATGTTAGTGCTATGAACTCCGTTAAAGCGTCTTTACAGTTTCCGTAGCTTAGTATATTACTATTTTCTTGTCAATAACTTCAATTTGGTCTTATTTAGAATGGTGGAATATTATCAATTTGGCCTTATCCATTCGTCGTAATTAATTTCCTTTTTATCAGACTTAATTTTTCCACTACATACAATACTTAGTTTTAAAAAATTGTTGCCTTCTTTTCCGTTACTCTATTAACATTTTTTTCAATGACATTTGCAACACCTAGTGTCCCATTTCTAAATTATATTTGTCTTATTCTACAGAGAACCTTCCGGATGCTATAGAGAATGATTGCAGGAAATGCACTGAGCGACAGCGCGAAGGTGCCGACCGTGTCTGTCATTACCTCATCGACAATAAACCCGAAGACTGGACCAAACTCGAGGAGAAGTAAGTTCAAAATGTTAATATTAACGAACGAACAAAAATCACCTTCACAACATTTAGTTGCAATACCGAAAACGTTGTTAATTAATATTACCATATAATATGTAGGTACCCATGATTTACCTACTAAACATTAGTAAACAAAGATATACCTTGTTCCAGATACAAATCAGATGGAAGTTATAGAGCCAAATACTTAGCCAGTAAGCAGACTAAAGATGAAAAAGAATCAAATGCCACAAAATCAAGTGAAGATACAAATAATGTTTCTAAGGAATAGACACAAAAACCTGACGACGACGATGGACCAGCCATTCACAAAGGAATAAGTACTAGATGATAGTGATTGTACGGATGCCGCTTATACCTACCTACCTACCTACTATTAAATAAATTGTAGAATTTTCTTACTATCCCTATACTGTTATAGATAAACAAAACACATTGTCGAAACTATAGCTTCCTACTGATTGCACAGTATTTGCATTTCATTTTAACATCCAAATGTAAGTGCTTAAAGACTGTACTGTATGTATCAGATTGTTCTTCTACCCCAGTATCCTTTGAACTTTTTGGATTCCGTCGTACCTGGTGAGGAAAACTTTCCATGCAACTGGATCATGAGCCATCATCGACGCAATTACTTTCCCAGCTTGGTCCTTCTGTTCTACCGAACATTTAGCGCAGTCTTCTTTAACAGCTTGAATCAGTACACCTGTTGAATGATGTAGATAGAGTTATAGTCACTTATTAGGTATTATTATATCAAATTAAAACTAAGATAACCTGCATGCCTACTAATAAAAAATATTAAGATGGTAACCAAAATTAAGAGAGGTAAACAAAGGACACGTTTAACATACTAAAAAGGGAGCAGACGAAGATACAAGACACACAAGGAAAATTAAATATTATGTGCATATGTCAGAATATTCATAATAAGTATTATATTTCTGAATAATGCGATAATCTTACTTTTAATTAATCCCATTTCCTTGCTGCAATGCTGACCGGGTATGTCAACTGTCTGATGGATCTTGGTCCTTGCACGGCTGATGGAAAGGAATTAAAAAGTACGTACCTACTTAAAAACTCGCACATACAACAATATTAAATACTCTGGTTTGTAAAAGTGTCCTCAGCATTTTTTTTCATCGTTAGCAGCGCCTTCTTAGATGTTAGTGCTATGAACTCCGTTAAAGCGTCTTTACAGTTTCCGTAGCTTAGTATATTACTATTTTCTTGTCAATAACTTCAATTTGGTCTTATTTAGAATGGTGGAATATTATCAATTTGGCCTTATCCATTCGTCGTAATTAATTTCCTTTTTATCAGACTTAATTTTTCCACTACATACAATACTTAGTTTTAAAAAATTGTTGCCTTCTTTTCCGTTACTCTATTAACATTTTTTTCAATGACATTTGCAACACCTAGTGTCCCATTTCTAAATTATATTTGTCTTATTCTACAGAGAACCTTCCGGATGCTATAGAGAATGATTGCAGGAAATGCACTGAGCGACAGCGCGAAGGTGCCGACCGTGTCTGTCATTACCTCATCGACAATAAACCCGAAGACTGGACCAAACTCGAGGAGAAGTAAGTTCAAAATGTTAATATTAACGAACGAACAAAAATCACCTTCACAACATTTAGTTGCAATACCGAAAACGTTGTTAATTAATATTACCATATAATATGTAGGTACCCATGATTTACCTACTAAACATTAGTAAACAAAGATATACCTTGTTCCAGATACAAATCAGATGGAAGTTATAGAGCCAAATACTTAGCCAGTAAGCAGACTAAAGATGAAAAAGAATCAAATGCCACAAAATCAAGTGAAGATACAAATAATGTTTCTAAGGAATAGACACAAAAACCTGACGACGACGATGGACCAGCCATTCACAAAGGAATAAGTACTAGATGATAGTGATTGTACGGATGCCGCTTATACCTACCTACCTACCTACTATTAAATAAATTTGAGTGTAGCTTTATATGTATGCGTGTATTTTTTGTGGTGGTCTAATGGCTCTCAGGGTGAGAGATCAGAGAGAGAGACCAGAGATCCTTAAGCGATTCATGAGGCCCATAGTGCCTCCTCTTGGTGTGGCTAATTCGTGTGGAGAATAGTTTCCTCAGGCTCTCCACCTGCTTCTTTCTCCATAGTAGCTCAGGTAGCCTCCTTTCCTCAATAACTTTTATTTCGTCTTTAACTAAACACACACAAATTCGCATATTATTCTTCTTCTACATAACACAAAATGAAACAAAAATCTTCAAATAAAATTATTTACTTTCAAAAATGTTGTATCACTAGCTAGATAAATACATAATATATGCTTCGATTACACTTACAATAACTATTTATGGTATCTTTTCGGAAACATACCGTTTAACTCTAACCTGCACTCCAGGCATAATGTAACTTTTACTGGGAGACCGTATTACGTCTTCTGGTTCACCTACAACTTTCAAATGAATCTCTTCACGTTTTTTAGGTTTTTCTCTTGGTTTTATTTGAAGTGCAGATCTATAACAATACAGGTTAGGTCACCATAATAATTATATTTAACTCTATTCCAATTTGAATTGATATTGAGTAATACGGGAGCTGTTCAGAAGTTTTTGTTTTAACCTTACACCTTAGTTATCTTCGTCATTTCAATGGACAGATGTAGAATTTTCTTACTATCCCTATACTGTTATAGATAAACAAAACACATTGTCGAAACTATAGCTTCCTACTGATTGCACAGTATTTGCATTTCATTTTAACATCCAAATGTAAGTGCTTAAAGACTGTACTGTATGTATCAGATTGTTCTTCTACCCCAGTATCCTTTGAACTTTTTGGATTCCGTCGTACCTGGTGAGGAAAACTTTCCATGCAACTGGATCATGAGCCATCATCGACGCAATTACTTTCCCAGCTTGGTCCTTCTGTTCTACCGAACATTTAGCGCAGTCTTCTTTAACAGCTTGAATCAGTACACCTGTTGAATGATGTAGATAGAGTTATAGTCACTTATTAGGTATTATTATAACAAATTAACACTAAGATAACCTGCATGCCTACTAAGTAAAAAATATTAAGATGTTAACCAATATTAAGAGAGGTAAACAAAGGACGCGTTTAACGTGCTAAAAAGGCAGCAGACGAACATCTAAAAACACACAATTAAAATTAAATATTATGTGCATATGTCAGAATATTCATAATAAGTGTTATATTTCTGAATAATTCGATAATCTTACTTTTAATTAATCCCATTTCCTTGCTGCAATACCGATCGACGGACATCAAGCACTTGACGTCTTGAGCTGGTAAGGGCTTTATAGCTTCATTTAAATTGACTTTCTTCTTAAGCATACTGCTTTTTTCGGCTTCACTGACTACTTCGTTGATAATAGTCATGTCTTGATCACCGTAAATGACCTTGAAGCCCCTACTTTGTACACCTTCGCTGAATTCTCTCGTGATCCCAGGCACTTCTTGATTTCCCATTACCACATGTACTACGATCAAGTATGGAATAGCCCGGGCCCACATTATGACTGAAGTTTTTGATGCCTCTTAGCTCAATGATGAACTCTGTCTAGTCAATGACAGCATTAACAATGGTAGCAAGATCAGTGTTTAGCAAGTTTACGTGTTTTGCTCGATAGAATTATGTTTTCAATACCTACCATTAGGGTTGTCAAACGAATGCACGATACGGTTAAGAATTGCTACCTAATGGGCTGGTATACCCTGACACTTTAAAGTATACATGCAGGAAGGTCAAAGGACTTGTTACCTGTAGGTATTAGATTCTCCGTTTAGAACAAGGATCTAAATTTTCATTTTCTAGACAAGTTTTGTCGATTATCTAGACAAATATGTTTTTAGGAAATTTTTTACATTAGGAGCACGTTCGTAATTAATCACACTTAGCAGTAAAATTACGGTGATATGTTCCTATTATTTTTATTACAAGTTGGCTAGCTAGCCAGGTCAGCTGACCTGTCGCAGATCTGCAGGAAGAAATTCCTTTAGGAATATAGGTATAGCACCTAACCGCCTCATTACATGTACACATTGTGTAGGTACCTATAATTATTTTTTGTGTTTTTTTAAAGTCGTGGTGGCCCGGAGGTTAAAGAGCCCGCTTCTCATGCATGTGGGTTTCGAAACCTGGCAAGTACCAATGTGACTTATTCCGAGTTATATGTACTTTCTATGATTATTTAGACACCACTGGCATACGGTGAACATCGTGAGGAAACCTGGACTTATAAATTTGAAATCGCCAACCCGCATTGAGCAAGCGTGGTGATCAATGCTCTAATCTTCTCCGTATGAGATGAGGCCTTTGCTCAGCAGTGGGCACTTTATAGGCTGATGATGATGATGATGATTTTATTTTTACAAAAGCATTGCCCCTTATTTGGTTTATTCTGTGTCGTGGTTTCGTTTACAAGCATACCTACAATTTCACATACACTTCACACCCAGACGCGAAACAACAATTTAAGGATTACATGAAGAGTTGTTCAGTGCAGGGATCGAATCGGCGACACCTAAAAACCACGTGTAATATTTGATGCCAGCTCAATGTCCATTGAAATTTAGCGCCTCAAAAAGAAGCAAACATGTGATTCTACTTTCCGTGGACTAATCCTATATTATTGATCCGCCTACAAGTTTTAGCAAGCCTAATGCGATCTTTTAAGTTTATTAAAAAATCAATTCTAATAAAACGTTACGACCCTGCGCTGGTTTGTGTGTATTCGGGGCGCGTACGAAACAACATCAACAAACAACCTTCAACTGGGCAGCATACCAAACTGAACGTGTAAATACACTACGGATGTTGTTACAAACACGGCCAATTTGTTTACCTATTATTTTAGATTATAGAGCCGTAACAGCAATTATAAAGGGTTCTAGGTTAAGACAGGTCATAAACAGGTGGTATTAAGAGATATAAACTGATTGCGTAATGAATATAAAAGTAGACCATTGCTTATACTCGAGAAAATCATTCCTGGATTATGTATAAGACTGAAAAAAAATATTGGTCCCAAAATGGCACCCTGTGGAAGCCTTTATAGGAAAGCTATTAATGAACTATGCGATTATATTTAATGTATAAATCCGTGCATATCTTGGTAAGAATTGGATAAGTAATTCAATTAGAGTTAGTTCGTGATACGGCTCGTGCCAAAGAATCCATGCAAACTTGTTCTCAAGAAAACATATCGTGTAGTCTTGTTTTGATAAATATTTTCTACTACCACACCACCAGAAATAAAACAATAAACATATGATTTAAAATTTATTTTCACTTTTTCAATAACCCTTCCATGATCTTAGACGCTACAGACATATCAACTTTATTGTTGCTCTTAGATAATATTCCTAAAAGTGCTTTAAATACTTTGGTTTTACCATTTTTATATTGTTTCACCAACTTAGGATTATTTTCTAAGACTTCAATACAAAGTTTTGTTAGTTCATCCTCATTGGACTTTAGTTTCCATCCCTTTTCTTCTACTACATCTAATGGAGATACATCATCATCAGATATAACAATCAGTTCATCTAGAACGTTTCTACAAATTTCTAAATTAATGTCTTTACTCAAAAGCATGTCAGTCAGTTCTTTTAGTTGCTTAACAGTAAGGGGACAATCATCTGCACCTAGTTTTCTTTTATTAAGTACAGTCAAAAGATCATTGATTAAAAAATTTGCTACTTTGGTTGGATTCCTGGTTTTGTCTGATGTTAAATTTTGGAAATAATCTAGTAATGTAGGTTCGTTGACTAGTTGGATTGATGTTTCTGGTCTTAGTCCAAAGTCTTCGATAAGTTTTTTTCTGGATTGTTCTGGAAGTTCTGGTATCTTTTCCTGTATTAGTGGTACACTTAGAACATCTCTATGCTCGATATCGGTCTTCAAGTTGACGCGTAACGGTGGCAGATTCGGTTCCGGCATGTATCTGAATAAACAAATATATTAATTAGCAGTCGTCTGTAATTAAATAGAATGATGACTTGATACCGGCTTCTACATTAACATTTAAATGTTAATTAAGTGACAGAAATAGCTTCCCTCATTCTTTAGTGGTTACATGTCGCTAATTAAATTATGGGTTGGTAGGTATTTCGGTACACAAGTTCTCAAGACGACTTTTGTTAAAATCGTTTAAGAAAAAAATTAATTAATCAAAAACGGGCATTTGAGGGTCCTATTGGTCCTTGTCAACAGCGAAAGGTGTCTCGATTTCATAATTGGAAAAAGGGTTAATAGCCCAGAGGTTAGAAGCAAGATGAATTATCGTGTTCTTCAATACAACTTTTACTTAGCATAACTGGAAAAGAGGACTTTATTTAAATACAAAAATATCTGATCAACTATTTTGGGTACTAAAATGTGTTTTATGCCAAGTCTTTCAAATTCTCACCTATAATCCTGCACGACCTCTTTGTCTCTCATAGGTATAGTGACTCGTGCAGTCGCGTCCCACGCTCGGGTCTCGTTGATAATGTGACCCCCATTGTCCAAGATTGTCTTTTGTCGCTCAATCTCATGCCGGATAGCGCCTGCCACGCCGCGCACTGATCCAATGTTCTTAATCTAAAACAAGGAAAAAAAATATTTTGTTTGATTATTACATATATTTTTTTTCGCCACTGGGGGCGCTAGTGTGGCTTTTAGTCTTTTAGACTATATAATTATTTACTAACTAGCAACTCTAGCGCGGTTTCACCCGCTGCTCGTCTCCATTTGATCGTAGCGTGATGTTTTATAGCACTCAGAAACATTGTAGCTATCTATCAGTGAAAGAATTTTGGCAATCCGAACAGCGGTTCCATAGATTACTCCCTACATACAAACTTTCAAATTTTACCTTTTTAAATATTAGCATAGATGTCAAATCAGGTGAACGCAATAATGAAATTCATCATTACTAACTAACTTTACTTTACCTTAACTAATTTTTACATTTCATGCAAAAAAAAAACTTTTGTAGCAGTACAGTCAGGAGTCAGTTTCTATAAGTACGCTAAAACGGGGTAAATAGAATTCTAGGGGTAAATAGACACAGAAGAGGGGTGAATAGATGTTGGCGAATTTTCCTAATACTTATATATATCCATCGAATTCTATTCACCCCCCAGACAAAACTTCCCGGGGTGGATAGCTTGTGTGACCGCTTGGGTCGTATTATTACAATTCCTATCTAGATAGGTATTTGCCCGTCATTGTAACTAGGCATTTCAAATAACAGGTATTTATCTGAAATAACCAAAGCTATCAAAATGTCTTTAAACGTAAAGAATTTGGCATAAAAACATTAAATGTAAATTAAAACAGCATCATTAATAAATGCCTACTTAATATTAAGAAAAACTCGTTTCATAATCGAGAAAGTACCACAAAATTTATGTAGAAAAACTTGATCATCGTTAGCAATAATTGTGTCTACCCACAAAAACGAACCGGAAAATCTTTGACGTCATTATGTTATTATCTGGTTGGTACACGGTAGTACAAAGTCCTTGTTTGAATTGATAGTACCTGCGTATCTAATATACATAAGTATATTTAGGTTATAAAACACACATACGCAGTAAATAAATATAGGTAAGTAAATAAGCGTTGGTAGCTACGAATCATTATTATATTTTTATGACGAAACCTCTATTAAAATGGTCTTCTAGAAGATTCTAAGATTGACGCATATAATATGGCATCCGTATTATATCGTGAACCGCTTATTATGCGTACAAACTTGTTAGTATTTTTTGTCTTAACGGTTTTACGCATTCGGAGAAACTGAGTACAGTTAATAGGAACCCTTTTTTTTTTATCTATGTCTAAGTCTGTGGTAATATTCTTTGATGTCTACCTATAAAAACTGTTCAGCTAATTGCTAAAGCGATTTTGGAGATTTTTACTCAAAGACAGTAAAGTTGTGGTGGTTAAAGGTTGTTGTACTATTACAAACATTACAAAATTAGGTTTGAATTTGATTAATTGACGCACAATTATGTACCAACATTTTCCGGAATAAGGCGTCGATGCCCTTTAAATCGTTAATGACTAAATGACTTTAATGCAATTAACCATTAATTACTTTAAATTCAGTAGTTGGAAATCAATTTTCTTTGAATAGCAAAATTTTGACCATTTTCATTATTACTATGTGCATATGGCAGATGTAAATGTGACAATGAAGATAATTACCTCAGTGCGAGTAGAGAGCGGGTCGCCGGGTCGCCTAATCGACACGTTAGCATCGACTCTGAGGGCGCCCTCTTCCATACGACCAGTGCACGCACCGAGTCTTTGCACAATCAGCACCAACTCCTTAACCAGAGCCGCTGCTTCTTCGCCATCCTGAAATTTAAATAATAATTCATTTTAAATATACTGGATATTATTATCCATACCATAAAAGGTTTGGAAATAGCATAAGATTAAGTATTGGTATTGAAAGATATTATAAGTAATCATATTACCTACTTAGATTTCAAAATTAGGAATTTGATTAAATTATTGTGAAAGAATTCTTATATTTACAAATGTATATATTTACATAATGATTAGGGACATAAAAATTCAGTTCAAATTAAAATGATAATTTATTAAAACAAAGTAAGTAATGATTTCCATTGTAGATGTAAACAAAATAAACTTTAAATTTTCGTTCTAATAAAATGTAACAAGGCCAATGTTTTGAATGGATTACAAAATGACTAATTTATTCTTCATATACAATTACTACTTGATTTGCAAATGAATGTTTCCAATCAGAGGTCATTTTGCTACTTAGTCAGGGTTTGAGTATTGATTATTGCTTAATCCTGAAATTTATTTCAATTTAATATTTCTATTAGGAATAAACTAAATATATTTACGTAACTAATATTTACAAGGGTGTAACACTGTAATATTATTTTATGCATTCTATAAAATTTGTACTTTTTTTTATCAAAGCTTTATAAAAAGATGGCGGGAAAATTGTCTTGGCAGCCAGAGGCCTACAAAAAGTTTATCTTGTTTAATTTGTTTTATTAGGTAAATTAAGAGATAGATTGAGATAACACTGTCTACTGTGTCAGTATTTATTCATTAAAAACTAACTAAGTACATACTTAACTGTTGTCATAAAAAAAAGTAACTATTTGCTCAGTCTTTTGCTCAATTAAAGTCACTGTATGTAAAGTATTTTGATGTAGGTACTTTATACTACAAATGATGATAATCTCAGTAGCTTGTATTTGCCACTATAGGACAAAAGTTCAGCATCATATTTGTATATAATTATAAAAATAAACTAACAACTTGCCTCTAAATCAGGTTCGAACACCAATTCTATAAGTGGAGCTCCCGCTCGGTTGAGGTCAATGAGACTCCGCTTGAGTTCTGCATCATGCAATGACTTGCCACTGTCCTGTTCCAACTGTATCTGTTTGATCTTTGAACTCTTTCTGTACGGTTGTTTGTGTATTCCTGGAGTAAATACCTGGAAATAAAGAAACAGATTGTATAAATACCATGTAACATGATATTGTATATGTTAGAAAATTAACACAATGTATTTCCTATTGAATCTCATATACAGACACAGTTTTAGGCAGTTCTAATTTATGATCACGTTTGTTTCGTACACTAGTTGGAATTCCATTGAATGTTTTGTAGAAAAATACATTGAGGTTAGAGGCCTTAGAATAATGATCTACCTGAAAGTTAATAACGCCATCGCTAGCCAATGGATTTCTTTGCTGTGTAATTTGATAGCCCGTCGGTAGATCAGCATAAAAATAGTGCTTTCTGTCAAAAGTCGAGACTTCGTTGACTTTGCAAGATAATGCTAAAGCGGTCATTATACCAAGTTCGACACATTTTCTGTTCAGCACGGGCAATGTACCAGGTACAGCCGCATCGAATAGTGATACGCAATTATTCACAACACCACCAAAAGTATTCTGAGCACCTGAGAACAGTTTTGATTCTGTATTCAACTGTGCGTGAACTTCTAAACCAACTACACTTTGCCACTTGTCAGAAACGGTTGAATATCCACGTGCCACCGAACTGTATTCGTATCTTAGTCGACGACATATTTTGATAAATTTCATTTTGTTGTCGTAATATTTTTTAATTCATAATAATCACACCACAACAATGCACAATAATCGTCTATGAACAGCTGATATTGACAGAATGAGCGCTTTTTGACAATTACAAAAATGCAGATAACACAAAAGTTACAGATTCATAAATGTAAGATTCTACACCATGTATGACATCACCATTTCGCAATCATAAAGTTTAATACGTTTTGTTATGTTGTAATAATTTAATTTATTTAACATAAAATTGCTATTTTTGACGCACAATGTTACGTTTTTACACAACTGACAAATATCTGCCTTATAAGAGTTCTAAGCTCTCGAGGTCAATCTCGAGGTTTTGTGAACTGAGAATTCGTTTACGAGATTAAATATAGATGGCGCTGTACACGAAATAACAATTTGGGGCATTTATCATACGGCATAATTATTATTTTAGACAAATATTAGTCTTGCTATTTCACAGTTAGGAACTTAAAAATATATGTGATCTTAGAAAAATACAAGTTGTTAGTTAAACAAAAATCTGTCTTACCTTAAGTGCTTCCTTTCAATTGATCCAGCAGTGTTTGGTTTCCATTATTTAAAACGTAAACTTATATAGATAAATAAATAATATCTAATTCATTATACCTAAATTGCATTGATAATTTGACTTATTAACTTAAACTAACTAAAACACCTAATTTATAGATTTAGAAAATATCACATTTTGGAAAGTAAATTAGAAAATAATATTCATTTTATACTACTAATCCTGCCACCACTTCGAACAGGAACGAGAAAACATAGAGGACAATAAAGGCCAAAGTAACTTCAGCGATGGAGTACATTTTTATTGATCTTTTTTACAAAAGGTAAAAATGATTTTCGCGGCAAAACGCGGTGAGCGTACGTTCGATAGCGCCTCGTTGCGAGATATGACCGCGAGTCAAAACAAAACTGTGCTATACCCACAGCCTTGACGTCAGCAATATTACGCGATCAAATTATAATGAAAACGCATGCAGCTACTCGCATGCTTGTGGACTGTTTACCATCTTTATTTATCCGTATTAGGTACTGCTGACAGTCCCAGCAGAAAGTGGTTTGAAAACTTTGTAATTATGTATTGAATTAAAGGAATTTCGTGACTTTGGTATATGTAGGTACTTAGTAGGGTACTTATCTAAGTACCTGCAAGAGGTTTTTATTTTCTTAATTAAGCGTGTCATGGTTTGAGAAAAGACGTGACACATTATGTAAAAAGACGAACAGTGCAAGATTATATAAACTATATTAGGTAGGTACTTATTAGAGAATAAATATTATAGTTTTTTTTAATATTTTGCTGCATTCGTTTTATAATAATTAGGTACATTAGCATTATAATTATTCTTAAAGTCACAGACTGTTGGGATCTAAAAATGAAAAGACCTCGATCTAATGTTTTCCTTACTAAGCATAATTACCACTGTATACCGTCCTTTTGTCATAGGTATATAACCTCCTTGCTAATCTTCACTTATCCTGTGTTACGTATATAGGTACCTCCATAAGTATATGTATCTAGTCAATGCGTACGCCGTACAAGTGCGGCCTTTGACTTCCTCGTACAAACTACTTACTACGTAGACTTTGTACCACTCAATCTACTTATTAATCGAATAAGCAGGTTTGTGAAAGAGTCATTCACCTAATAAATACATACATTATACCTATAACCCCAATATCTAAATATGTATAGACAAAATGCATTTGGTAGAGTCAGTAAGAATGATAATTATTTTATCCCCATAATTAATATGAATTGGGGGCATTACTTTAGGATTACGGAAGGAAAAGGATTCATGAGAAGGAGTTCTTGTTAGAGTTACCTTTGAGAACACCAGAAATCTTCCATCACATATAAGTCTCAGAATCCTAATCAATGAGAAAAAGTACGTTCAATAAAAAAAAAAGATATAATATTTTCGTTCTATCTTATACTAGTAGATATATGAAATATTAAACCTATTTGCCCTGGTATCTATGTATATTTGGTCAGTTAAAAAGGTCTACAATACAACCACACCCTCAATGATAAAATTGTACTAGATCGATGAAATGCAAACGCACATAATTTTCCGTCGCACGCACGCAAGCTCGGGACATAAATAATTCGAATATAGGTAGCGACTACGTAGGTACATAAAATGTCTGATTGCTGACTATTAGTACCTACAGAGTGAATTGCACACTAATGTACTGACCCATATTTTATTTGTAATACAATTACGTTAGTGTTATTTTTATCACTAAATGGCCGAGGAAATTGGTCTAAAGGAAAGACTGTTTAATTAATACGACTTTGTCATACGAAATTCAGTCTTCTACATAACATGACAACGTCGCATTTTCAACGCCAATTAGAGAGAGATATTTACTTTTGAGACATTATGAGATTGTAATGTAACAGCCTTTTAAACAGCTATGTTAGAAACTATTAGCTACATATTTGACTGACTGCATATTGACAGCACGGTTGGTGCGGCCACAAATTGTTTTGCGATTGCAAAATTTAATAACTTTCCTTATTTTTTTCTTCATTTTTTTCAACAAGGCAAGGAAATATTCATCGGTTTTTTTTGCGGACAAATTGTGTAAAAAAAGAAGAAAATAATAAGGAAAGTGAATACTAAGTATTTTAATCAGTCCAATTGGACTGGATTGGATTAATTCAAAACACACTGTTCTACACGACTCGAGGTTTCGAGCACAATTTCTTGATGACCTTATCTTTCATAAAAATCGTGGTCCCCCTTCACGTTTCGAATCATAACAACTTAGGGTGCTCCCTTCGGTAAAACCCGATAAAGGGAAAAAACAAAGGTTTACATTATTTTCTAAAGGGCAATATCGTCCATCCAAACAGCCCAAACATGTTTGTCTTGCTAGCAGAGCTGTAGATATTATCCACAACGCAAATAAGGTGAGTTGAAACAACTAAGTAACAACTTTTTTTGAGGGATTATAATCATAAAGTGTACCTATGTGTATTTAACTTCATGATGTGGCAAGAGTCACGTGCCTCTCACTGGCTAAAAATCACCCCGTTCTTTCCTTTGCACTAGGCCGAGGCCGCGATATCTAATTGCGCTTGCTCCGCAACCCCGCCTGAACCAGGTAGCACTTAAGGCGTCAAGTCGTGAAGGGTCGCCTAGAGGCACGCGTGCCTATAGGCGGCGTCTGGAAAAGACGCGAAAGCGGATTATTAAAAAAATAACTTACGTACGCCTGTGAAAGACTTGCCTATGGCACTTACTGAGTTGTTTAATCTGTGTGCAAAGAATTATTACTTAAGTAGTACTTACTATTATTTATTCAATTACTACTTATATTTTGTAATTAAAAAATCTCACTAAAACTAAAGCTAGATATATCTTGTTACCATATAACATAAAACCTGGGTGTTGCATATCACATCGTTTCATTAATTTTACGGGAAATAAACAGCTTGACACTACGCTACGAAGTCACAATAGCTCGGAGTACCTGTGTATGTAGATTACCTACTTGGCATACCAAGTTTGTACCAAGAGTTCACAGTACTAATTCTATTGTTTTGTAACGCCTATGAATACATACACAGGGTAAGTACATACTTACTCAGTTACTCATTATTTCTAATAGAATAATATATTAACACTTTCAATACGCACGTGTTTTAGTCCAAATCCAAACTATAATATTATAAATGCGAAAGTAACTCTGTCTGTCTGTATGTCTTTTCTTCACGCCTAAATTACTGAACCGATTTCTACTACTACAAACTACTGAAAACTATGTAGTTTTCAGTAGTTTGTAGTATGTTAGGGATGTAAGGGGGAAAATACCATCTTAGTGCCCCAGTCAACCTCACCTGCTCGTGGTGCATCCTGCTGATTAACGAACGAGGCTCTGCCGACCGACTCATGGCGGTATAACCATAAAATGTAGGCGTAGACAAATTCAGCAGACTAGTGGGGCAGCAGCGTCACTAGTGCGAGGAGCTACGCCCTGCGATCACCAACCCGCCTGCCCAGCGTGGTGATTACGGGCATTACCTCTAATGGCACGCCTAACGAAACGGCCCCCAGTTCCCGGTCGCCCCGCTATTCTTGGCCAAGTCGGCGGTCATAGTAACGGCGGGGTAGGGGGTGCCAAGAATCTCCGGGCTATGAAAGGCCGACAACACCAACTGACTCTGGCTACGTATAACGGACGCACGCTACGGCTCGATGAACATTTGGCACAGTTAGAGGTGGAGCTAGAAAACGTGAGGTGGCATATCCTGGGGTTATGTGAAGTCCGAAGACAGGGAGAGGATACCGTAACTTTGGAGTCTGGCCACCTTATGTACTTCAGGGAAGGAGACCAACCATCACAGGGTGGCGTCGGGTTTTTGGTCCACAGATCTCTGTCAGACAGCGTTGTTGAGGTCTCCAGTGTGTCAGCAAGGGTAGCGTACCTTGTGATCAAACTCACCAAGAGGTATAACCTAAAGGTCATCCAAGTGTACGCACCTACCTCGACATACTCGGATGATGAGGTAGAGGAATTGTATGAAGACATTTCCAGGGCCTTACACACCACCCAAAAAGCCCATTTCAACGTTGTCAAGGGAGACTTCAATGCTAAAGTGGGAGTACAGACTAGCGGCGAGTCGGTAGTAGGACCACATGGTTTTGGAAGCAGGAACCATAGGGGGCAAATGCTCGTTAACTTCCTGGAAAAAGAGGGGCTATTTTTGATGAACTCCTTCTTTAAGAAGCAGCCCCAACGGAAGTGGACGTGGCGGAGCCCCGACGCTATGACAAAAAATGAAATAGACTTCATTATGACGGACAAGAGACGAATATTTAGAGATGTCTCAGTGATCAATGGGTTTAATACCGGAAGTGATCACCGACTTGTGCGAGGCACTCTAAACATCAAATATGACTCCGAGCGTGTCCGTCTCATGAAGTCTACGCTCCGACCAAACTTGCTCCAAGCCGTGGTTGGGTCTGAAACATTTCAGTTAAAACTGGAAAACCGATTTGCTGCCTTGGAAATTACAAATGACATTGATATCGACCAGGAACTTGACCAAACAGTAGGGATCCTCCGAGACGAAGGGACGAGATTATGGCGGAAGCAGAATACCGGCAGGGGCGCCAAGCTTTCGGGAGAGTGCCTACAGGTTATGGAGAGGCGACGTAACAACCCATCAGTCGCTTCGTCAGATCTTAATAAAAAGATCTCAAAGCTGATAAGACGTGATCTCCGAAGCGCCAATACTCGCGCTATAAAAGAAGCGATTGAGCGAAACCGGGGGTCAAAAGTCTTCAGCCAACAATTAAATCGAAGCCATCTGACGAAGTTGACCACACCGGATGGTAATATCGTCTCTTCTAAGCCGGAAATTCTCGAGGAGGTTCGGCGCTTCTACGGTGATCTGTACACCTCAA